AGCCAGGGCATCACTTATCAATATTACCTGAATGTGCCCTTGTCATTTTATTCCTCCTTTGTAACAACATGCTCATCTTCAAAACATCATTGTACAGCTTCTAGAAATAATATACGTTCTCAAAATATCTTATTAACAAACCCACGAGGATGCTAAGGATGATGCTGGTGGTGATAATGTTCACGGTCATATTAGCAAGAGCAGCCACAGCCAACATCATGGGGCCAGGTACGGTGTTAAGCCCTCAACACATCTGATCTCCGGAACAAAGATTCAGCGCAGGTGTTTTCCCAGCCCTTGGTTCACTATTTAAAGGGGGCGTTCTCTCCTTTCCCCCAAAGTTCTTCTTCACCCCACAATAATCATTGAAAACCCAGGACCCAGAGTGGACTTGCCATGACGTTCAGAATACCATAAAATATTTAAAGTAAATGAAAATGGTTTTTCAACTTTAATTTAAGTGGTCACAGACATGATTACTGTAATAAAAACAACCAGAAAAGCACCTAAAATTGTCAAAAACATAATTGATGAGAAAAGCAAATATAAAATTATGGCACAGTGAACCCTGGCTACCAAAGACTCTTGATGAAATTGCAGCCCTATAATTCCCCAGAATGAATTCTTTAAATTAAAATATGTCACGCCGAACAGAAATTAAACAATGAATCAAAGAACAATGCTCTATAGCCAGAATGCTTATAAATATACCTAGGGGAAAAAAAGGAAACAATTACATTTTTCCATGTAAAAATCAGCTCGATTGTAATAGGTACTTTTACAGGCTGAACAGGTATTTTCCCATTGCTCCCAGATGGGAAGTTCCATTCCTGTAACTCACTCGGGACCCACAGTGACTGGGTCCAAGGAAATTAGCTCCACCAGACGGGCTGGCTTTTTCCCTTTCTGCAAAACTAGCAGCTCCGCACAACTGTGCAGCAGACTTCCACAATACAATACATTTCATCCAACCCAATTGAAATGCCACTCCGCATTTTGTTTTAAATGCTTTCTTTGGCCGGCTGTTTTTATTTAACTCTTGACCAGAAGTGGTCCAAGTGCTTTCCTTTACCACCCAGCATTACTCTTAGTGAACTTAGCTCCGTCAGAACGTCTCGACGGCTGAGAAGAAAACAAAAGTCAGCAAGCACACAATTGCATTTGGCTACCCTCAGCGCATCATTTTCTTCCCTCCTGCTCGCTGCGACCTATTGCTCAGCACTTTTGCCAATGAGGGAGGACGAGCAGGTGGTTGAGGAAGTTGTCCTGTCAGCTATATCTTTAATCCAAGTGCTTAAATCTCTGAATAAAAGAAAAATCAATGTTGTAAAGGCAATGTTTGTCAAGGCCAGGTAATAAATACACTTACCTTTACAGGCTGTTCTCGGTGGATTTCCCTTCTTTGGTGAGCTTCAAATCTACAAAGAGATAAAAATGAAAGCACTGAGTGGTCTGTGGGTGAAGCACCCAATATTTTCTTTCCACGTCTCTAAGCATAATGTCCATACGCCATAAGACATACTGGTAGCCA